TCTGTAAATGTCTTGAACTTTTATGGACATGTACTTTTCCAGGTGAGGGAAATTTTCTTCTATGATTTTGAAAAATATATTTGATGGATTTTTGAGCTGGGATTCTTCTCCATTTTCCTTTTCTATTATTCTTAAGTTCAGCTTTTACATGGTATCCCAGATTTCATGAATGTTTTGTTTTTGGAGATTTTTAGATTTAACATTTTCTTTGATCAATGAGAAACTGTTTTTTTTTTTTTTTTTGTCTATTGTATCTTAGACACTTTCATCTTTTGTATCTGATGTTGATGCTTGCATTTGTAGTTCCTGTTTACTTATTTGGATTTTCCATTTACTAATTTCCCTAAGTTGCGTTTTCTTTATTGCTTCTACCTTGATTTTCATGTAATAGTTTCTTTCACCATTTCTGTTTATTCTTGGCCTTCTTGGCATTCTTTAGTTTTTTTTTTTTAATTTTCCTCTAATTTTTTTTATTTTCTTTTTCTTGATTTCTTTAAGGTAGGTTTTTTTTTAATGACCTCTTTCATTTTCATAAAGTTGTGTTTAGGTTCATTTTCTTGTGAGTCACTCATCTTGGGATATGTAGGTCTTGCTTTTGTAGGATACCTGGGCTCTAGTGGTAACATATTTCTTTGGCTGTTGCTGATTAGAGTTTTACATTGGCATTTAGCCACCTGGGTTTCATATTGTTAGTTCTAGTTCCTTATTTCTGAATTTGTCTTTGTTGGATGAGTATTTTTTCCTTAGTTTCTGTTTTCTTTTTGGTTTTATAGTCCTTGTGGCCTGGATTTCTTGTTGCTGATGTGACCTCTAATCTAGGAGGCAGTCCCTGTTGACATTTGCAGTTGGACTTCTTGCAAATCACTTAGTCTTTGGTGTAGCAAATAGTTTCTGTTCCTCTGATTAGTGCAGACTGTTCTTCTGCCTAGTGTGGCCTGCACTTAAGCAGCAGAAGTCTGTTCAAGCTGGTGTGGTTTTCTCCTACTGTGAGTAGTGTGGCTTGCAGGTAAGTGGTCAGAAGTTAATTGAGCTTGAGGGCAGGGCAAGCAGGGCTGATGACGAGCTGAAATTCTGAGGGTTATGAAAAGTTTCTTTAGGATGAATATCTAATGAGAGGGAAAGTTCCACTGACAGGTGCGTTACTCAATGTGATTCTAACTGGTATCTCCTGCCCCTGAGTGGCATATGTCTGCTGGGGTTGGGGGGCATGACCCAGCAGTAAGTCTAGAACAAGCTAGGATGTTATGATCACCATGCTTATTCTTGATTTTTTGAAATCATTGTCTTATAAATCATCTAGGTCGGTTTGCCAGGGGCTATTACTATGAGAATGTAAAATTATGAGATAGAAAATTACTGTTTTGGTTACTCTTATTTTTGTATTTGTGACAGGCTCGATGTATCTGAAGTAAGGTTGTTTGTAGTATTTTTTGGTATGTAAATATTAATGCTCTTATATTGAATGGGTTTTTAATGTTCCACTTCCTTTTACTTCAACTTCTCAGGAGTTTGACTATCTTCGTGAGTCTTATAATTCAGTCCTTGGGTGATTCTGTGCATTTGTTCATATGTAGTTTCAGAAGTAGTCTTCGTTCATTTCATGATAAATGAAGTTTCACAGATAAGGAATAGAACCCACAGGATTCTAAGAGTTGAGTCAGTCTTCAAGAGTCTGTGGTAGGTGCTTAGGTATTTTCCACAAGCAATGGATGATACTTGTTTTGGTGATATGAGTTTGGGGTTCCTACCTAAAAAGATGGTCAGACAGGGTTTCTCAGAAAGCAAGTGCCAGACTTGTGGTTCTAAAGCAAGTTAAGTGTTTGAATGGAATTGTTGGTGTGAGTGTAGTGCTTTTCCGTGAAAATGGGTAATCATCCAGTTTCCCTGGGTGGGTGGAGCAAGAACATCTATTCTAGTGTTAGCTAAGAGAAGAAACCAAGTGTGCATACTGGGTATGGACAGTTTCTGTTGGAAGTGTATGACCTCTGATTAATAATGACAAGAGAACTAAGGGAACTGGGGAAGTGGAGATGGGTTAACAGCGTATATTGTTGATCCTCAGATGAAGAGAGTATACAGGAAGAGGTACAAAATGAGTCAGGACAGGGAGTCTGTATGTAAGTTGCTTATCTTATCATAAGAGTCTAGTGCTCATTCCTCAATATGGAAAACACTCAGATAGTGAAGATGGCTGTAGTTAGAAACATCAATTATTTCTCTGTCTAGAGAAAGAACTAAATAAATAGGTGCAGCAATGACTTTGTAGTAGAATCAAATTGTGTGAGAGAGTCTATTCTCCATGGCAAGGGGTGGAGATAATCTTTTTCTTTCTGAATGGATGGGACAAAAATTCATGCTATATATCTGAAATGAGTAAGTTAAATGGGGCTCAAAAAAGAAAAGGGCCTATGCATTCATTTGGCAGGTCACAAATGTCCCAGTTTTGCTCACGGGTGTTAAGACCATATAAATAGTTATGGCATTGTAAGTGGTGATCTGGGTCTTCTACTATCAACTGTTCATTGAAGCAAGTGCTCACAGTCATGACAATAGGCCAAAGTGATTTCTCATTTTAGAATCCATCTTCTCAGATGACTTATGGTTTTGTTAATTTTACAATGAAAACTAAGGTGTACAATGCTTTACTATTCACAAAATATTTCACAGCATACAAGTGACTTTTCTTTTAATATTCTGATAGATTTTAATAACTTCATTTCATTTATATCTTTAGTACCAGATTTTTCTTTTGTTATAAATTCTCCTAGTCATGTTCTATTCTTCATTAGTTTCTTGCTTATGCCACTGTCTTCTTACCACTACTTAGTTTCAATTTATGCATTTTTTCTACATATATTTTACTTCATAACACCATTTTCACTATTATACTTCATTTACATTCATCCCTGAGTTTATAGCTAATGACTGTGTATGTATTGAATATCAGAAGCTAAGCCAGTTATATTATTTAGAGCATGTATTCATCTTGGTTATTTCTTTTTCAAGATGAGGTCAGATACGTTTAGACATCTAAGTTTTCTGAGTATCCTTACCTTTCAAAATGGTAGTCATCTAAGGCTAGTCTTACAGTTTTCTCAGAGTAGGTCAATTAGTTCTATCTTCATCTTGACTTCTGTACATACTCCAGGTTAATCTATGAACTATCATTTTCTGAATCTTCTTCTATTAAATGTGTAAATAATTTTTTCAAGGTATGTAAATAGTGTTCTCTTATGGTATTATAACAGAAATAATTACTGATTACTCCAATATTATTACTGTTACTATTACTATTTTTCCAACATGAATGGAATTAATATAGCTATTTATTCTGTATATACATATATTATCAACATATATTTATATATTACTCAATTTTTCATCTAAACTTTGAGTAGATTATATACCATACATGATAGAAATGCCTACAATCTTGACTATGAGATTGTTCCAAATTTGATTGCATGTCAGTGTTAAGTACACAAAAATCGATCTGAATTTTCTTATACAAGAGAATGGAAAAGATACTGGGGCAATATTTAAAAAAAAGTTTGAATGAATATATTACATAAATTTTCAAGTTTATTTAACTAATAAAAGTATTAATAATTGATTCTGAATAGAAATTCAAAATGTAAATGTGTTATAAAATACAGGTGGGCAAATAGACAATAAGCAATTTACTACAAAGATGAGTAAAGCCGTTGATACACACAGAAGACTGAAAACTTGTCTTACCTTCTATTAAAATAATAATGACAGACAGAAAAGAAAATACTACCCTGAAAAACACTTAGTTTCCAGAAATGAAAACTAAAAAAAATCAAAGAAGTCTATTGCATTATCACACTTAACTTTAACCTGTGTAAACAAATGATTACTGAAAACATGAAATTGTATGATAATTTAATTTACCATCTTTAACAAAGTGATTTATATAAATGTATACAAGGATGTGATTATCAACAAGACAATATCATGAAATTAAAGACACTATGTAGGTTATTGTCTTTTTTATATTGAAGTATTTACCATATTAAGTCAACATCCAACACACCCAACATACATTTAACTTTCAAAAGACATATTATATGTCAGACAGCAAGGTTTTAAAATATTTCACACACTTATAGAAATTGTGTTGTGTTCATATTCTTTATTAGACTGAAACATATCAATAAAAAACAACACACTATTGTTTCCTTCCAAGTATACAGGTTAAATTAAAATAAATTTTTGACTATTGTGGTGAAATTTATACCAAATAGGTCTTTTATTATGCAATTTAAATAACTTCTACAATAAAATTCAACACATATTACTATCTACATTGTATTTATGTTGTAACTTTTTTTCTATGAACTTCCTTGGATTCTGAAAGTCAGTCTTCCTTCTTTCATCAAATGTTTTACATTTTTATGAGGGAATATTATGTGGAAATGTATTAATGTCTAAATTTCTTTTGTATTTTGAAATCTGTTTGAGAGAGTTGCCTTACTTACTATAAAAACACATGTAAATAATGGCATTCTAGGATCTATTTCAATTTTAGTATTTGTTTGATGTAAGCACTGCAATGGAAATATGAAGTGATCCTAGGATTCATTTAATGGACAAATACAATTTTATTTTTCAGGAGTTAATTGCATATTGAGATAAATCAACGATTCCCCAAAGTTTCCATGTTTAATTATTTGGAATCTCTTGAACTAGTCCTGTGTTCTCAGATTTTTCATCAAACACATATTGCCAACTATATCAGGAGAAAAGATAAAGTATCAAGCATCCTCAAGCTCAACTATTTCCAGTCCTTTGTCACACTTAGCAGCTTTAGCTAAACCTCTGCTTGCCTATGTTAAACAAGCAACCACTGCAGATAACACCACTTTCATGTTACTCAGATTAAGAAGAGACTGGAGTACATGTGAAATGCTGTGGCCGATCTAAGCCTGACACTAGATTTGAAGATGAGTACATTTGAAGAAGATTCTGAGCCAGTAACAGTTGAAATTGTAAGTTCTGTCTTACCTACGGAAGACACAGAGAGAAACCTCATTCTCTGCCTTCAGAATGAAGCTGATAAAATGGAAAACCTTACTGAACCTCTGAATAAGAGGCCTTGTTTGTCCTCAGAGGATGATTCTACTCCTTGTGTACAAGCAGTTGCATTCCCACTACCAAAAATGGAACAGAGTTTTCAGTTGGCCACAACCTCAGCCACAGAGTTGGCAGATGAAGATATTACTGGGGGAACTATGCTGCAGTTTGTGATTTTACAGGATGACAAACAAGAAAAAGAAATTCCCTTGGCAAATAAGGACGAGTCAATCATTAGACAAGCATGGTTAACAGCTAAAGAAGATAAAGATAATCTAATCAAACAAGGACATAAATGGAAGCAGGGAGTGTGGTCTAAGGAGGAAACAGATATTTTAATGAACAACATTGAATGCTATATGAAGGAACATGGAGTAGAGAATGCCACCGAAATCATTTTTAAGATGTCAAAAGGTAAAAGAAAAGATTTCTACAAGACTATATCATTGGGTCTGAATCGACCTTTGTTTTCAGTATATAGAAGAGTGGCCCGAATGTACGATGACAGAAACCATGTGGGAAAGTACAGCCCTGAAGAAAGTGCGAAGCTCAAGGAGCTTTGGCAGCAGCATGGTAATGACTGGACAAAAATAGGTGCCGCCATGGGAAGAAGTCCATCTTCTGTCAAAGACCGCTGCCGACTAATGAAGGATAATTGGAACACAGGGAAATGGACCGAAGAAGAGGAACAGCTTCTCAGAGATGTGGTTCATGAACTGACATGCACTGAGATGGATGAAAAAGTCACACAGGGTGTGTCTTGGGCAATAGTGGCTCAACGAGTAGGTACTCGCTCAGCAAAGCAGTGTCGTGCTAAATGGCTCAACTACCTGAACTGGAAACACACTGGAGGAACTGAGTGGACAAGGAAAGATGAGGTCACTCTCATAAACAAGCTTTCAGAACTTGATGCATCTGATGAAAATGAAATTAACTGGGATGACTTAGCTAAAGGATGGGAAAGTGTTCGTTCACCACAATGGCTGCATAGTAAATGGTGGACCATTAAACGGCAAATTACAAACCATAAGGACTTCACATTCCCAGTCCTAGTAAAAAGTCTTCAACAAATATATGAGAGCCAAAATGCCAGCCTCATGTTTTGGAAAAGTAAATCAGGATCTGAATTGTCAAATAACAAACCTGATATGAGTGTTCAACAAGTCCCCTGCGGAGTCAGTGGTGTAGAAGATGATAACAGTACATGCATCTGACAGGATTGCAAATTATACTCCAAATTGTTCCTGGTTCTTCAACAGACTACCCTGTGGCTATTCTTAACTCTGAAACAATATCCCTGCCCAATGAACCACAATAGATGTTTGAGATTCTTTTTTCTTTCCATTACCTCACCTTGAGTCAACATCCTTCAAAGAAACTTAGCTCAAGGACTTCCCTTAAAGTTCTGGTGCTGCACCTTCTTCTACTAACCCATCACTTTTCACTTTTTATCCCCAGAATATCTACTGAACACTAAAATAAATGACATGTGGAGTGTCATATATCAACATTCATTACTAAAATATTTGAGGAAAATAACAATGCTTTTTACACATCCCAAGCAGAATGAACAGTCAATACAGATATCAATTGCTTTGATTTTTGTGGTCTTGTAAATTAATTTAAAGCAAAGAAATTACCTGACAGAATTATTTAACTAACCTCGTTCTGTAACCATCATTTAATTGTGCCCTTGTTTCTAAATTCAGAGACCCAAAAAGCATAGAGATAATGAACTATGCTATAATTACACCAGAATAATTCTGTGACACCAACCATAAAAATAAGAAATTCACTCTGATTTATCCAGTGCTTGGATTTCTGAGGATTGAGTTACTCACCATAGCAGAGCAAGTGTTTCCTTTACACAAGTGGTGACAAAACCATGGTTTGTGCCCCTTCACTACCTGGCTTTATCAAAGGCATTGGCTTTTACAGGTGCTGAACCTGTCTTGCCATTCACAACAATAATAGCTCTCATAAACCAAAAAATGACAAGCATTGCATACCATTGTTTCCTTTATGGGCAACTCCATTTCTAAAGTCAAAAAGGACATTGGACTTGCAAAATATTACTAGTATATCCTTAGAAACAAGCAAAATTCCAAAAACAATTTTATTAGAGGAGTGATGCCTGAGAGACTTTAATTTGTAATCTTCTGAATCACATAGTTACAGTAATGGCAATGAAGTGTTATTGTATCTGCAGAGAAACAGGAGTGTTTGTCAATAATTGTTACTTTTTATCTCCTGACTCACATAGCTACAGTGAGTTAGTTGTGAACATTAAGACTATGACTTCTTTTTACAATTTTCAATACCACTGAGATCCAGTTTTATAATACTGTGTGAGTGGACAGTGAGTAGTATAATTGTACATCCTCCTGTGTGGAATGTTATCATGAGGGGATTTTCCCCCCTCAGCTACTTGAAAGGTTTCAAATCACTAAAGGTTAACTGCAGTAATATTCATATTATACCTCAGACATAGTATTGATCAAATATACATAAGGATTGTTTACATTTGAAATAAGTCCTAGAAAGAACTTATTGTATACAAATAAAGATATTTTGGAGATGACTTCATGTTAATTATTCTTGATTAGCCTATTGTTGGCAGCTAGAGTCAATTTAGGCCCTAGAATGTAAGTAAAGAAAATTACTATTATTTTGCTGTTGTTAAGGGGAATATGAATTATTAAACAAAACAACTTTTATGGACGATGTTTTCACCCTCTCATCTAATTACTACTTTTAGTTCATAGTTAGAACAGTGAAGTAAAACTAAATGTTAAAAGAGGTATAGTCCTTGAACTTGATAACCAGAACAGGTTTATTACATGTATAATATTAAATACACAGAAATCAGAGAGAGAACCTGTGTTGTTCCTTCACCAGGCAATATGCTACATTAAATTGCAAATTTAAAGACAAATGTAACATATATAACGAAAAACACAGATCAATTTTTATTCCTGCTGATTTTGTTTAAACTGACTTGTAGATTTGAATTGAAATGAAAACTATAAATATTCACCAAAAGTACAGTTATATAGTTTAATTTTGATGATATAATTACAAGCATAATTAACTATTTCACATTAACAAAACTCAAACAAGATAAGAAATGTGTGTTAATTAGGGAACAATTTGTTTGTGTTAAGCTTAATAAGAACAATGTCTTACATTGAAAAAGATTAAGATACTTTCATGTATGTGTGTTTGATGAAAATTTTCTGCATGAAGGGATGTTTAAAGCAATCATGAAGACTTCTTATAGATTAACTCAAACATGGAAATCTTTCACAAAGATGTCCTATCATATTACAAAAGCATTTGTTCAACTATGTTCATAGCAGCATTATTTGTAATAGCCAGAACCTGGAAACAACCTAGATGCCCTTCAATGGAAGAATGGATGAAGAAAGTGTGGAATATATACATATTAGAGTACTACTCTGCGGTAAAAACCAATGACACCTTGAATTTTGCATGCAAATGGGTGGAAATAGAAAACACTATCCTGAGTGAGGTAACCCAGACCCAAAAAGAGGAACATGGGATGTCCTCACTCATAATTGGTTTCTAGCCATAAATAAAGGACATTGAGCCTATAGTTTGTGATCCTAGAGAGGCTAAATAAGAAGTGAGTTCACAATTTGAACATAAAAATTCTGAATATCACTAATCACAAAGAAAATGTTAATCAAAAACTTCATCAGTTATCACCTTAGGCTGGTAAGAAATGGTTTATATGAAAGTGGTAAAACAAAGAGCAGTTAGTGTGAATGTAGAGAAAAGAACTTTTGGAGCTGTTGGTGGGAATGTAATTAGCACTGATAGTGTGGCAAACAAATTACAATCTCCTTGAAAACTTAAAAATTCAGATACCAAGTATGTTTTTTATTCTAAAAAGTACACCAAATGTTATTTCTGTTTTCTTAGTTTAAACTTTAGAGTCAGATTCATTCAAATGGCTAATGACAATTTTTATCTTTAGAAGGAATATCTTGCTTTTTACCCAATGTGTATGTTTAAAGCATGCCTATGCTGGTTGCAATGTAATTGACCTAATTTTGAACCCCAGTTCCGCAACTAACCAAGACAGATCAATTGAGGCAATCTGATCTCTCTAGGTCAGATTTCCCTTAACTCTTTTTGAAGTTACACACTACATTTTTGCTAGATTTGATTGAAGTTTGAAATAAAAAGCTTCATGTAAAATGTTTCAGTTGATGATATGGACTAAAGAAAGTCTAGTTATTCCTCTCATTAATGACATTAAAAGATCCACATAATTATATTTTGTTAAGTGATCATATAGATAAATAGTTGTTTGAAATTATTTGTAATGGTTTAAATTTTTAAAATATATTAGATTGTACATAAAATCAATAACTTGGAAAAGATGTTCCATATTCTACACTTTATAATCTTTAGGCTTAGCCACATAGCTGTATATATACATTGTACAGCATAAAAAATTAGTACACCCTGAAAAAGTGACATACACTGGCAAAAAAAAAACTCTAGTGTATAATGGTACAGTGATAAATGTTCCAAGAAGACAAACACAGATATGAAATATAGATTAACAGCTGCCAAGGTTAAGAGAAAGCATGTTGAATTGTATGTGATTACTAAATAGGGGCAGTGTCAAAATGTTGTGTCAAAATTTTGCAGAACCTCATAGTAAGAAAGGTTATATAAGGGTTTAAAAAAGAAAACAGAAATGTAGAATGCACAAAATGAGACTAATGAAAACAAAAAGTATACTGGGGAAGATCTAATTGATATTTATATTAGAAATATTTTGTGGTTTTGTTCTTTTTTTCTGTATTTTGAGTTCCAGATAATTTTGGATAAGTAATAAGGGCTGATTTGAGTAGATTCCATCCTAGTCAGCAGCCACATTCTTCCAAGACAAAACTAAATCCATGAAGTATTAACTACTCAAGAGAAAATGCACCAGAGAACACTGACCAGGTAGATTAGATGCACAAGGAGTTTGGTGGAATCTCATGTATCTGCCCATCTGTGTTTCAGGACTATACACAACAACACATGCTTTTTATGTGTTAGTTGAGGACCTAAACTAGAATCTTTTGGTTTATCCAACAAACACTACACTTTCTGAGCCATATCTTATGCAAATGAGGTTGCTTTTATAAACAGCCCACTGAAGATATTAGAGATAATACACATGTTTCTGGGAGAATAAATCATATAAGAAAGTAGAGCCCAATTGACCAAATCACTTTATTTAAAGCATTACTTGCCAACACTGTTTCATTGATAATTGAATTTTTCACATGAGATCATTTGTGGTCACATTACATAACTGTATCACTCTAGCACTCAAATTAGACATGATCACATAAAATTGTTGATATGGACAAACAGGGATTCTGAAGCCTGAATCTACTTACCTTAATCTGGTGAGTTTTCATGGAATTTTAATGATTACTTTGGGAAGAAAATGTTGAACTACCATAAAGCTTTATATTCTTGAAATGGGTAAAAACTAATTCTTTATGTGTCCTTTTACAAATTCTTCACTGAAGCAAACTAGTCTATGAGAATTTTTTTTGAAATCCTGACCATAATTTTCATTATCTTTTGAATCACAAATTAATTCTTGCTCTGTCTTCAGCTATGCCCAAATTTTTATTGGAATGTGGAGTCTATTTTGAGGATGTGAAACTTAAGATGTAGGAAGATTACCAGGGGACAACAACAAAAATGATTAAAGGGGAATAAAGTAAATTCTACAAGAATTAAAAAAAGTATGATTATTATAGTTATTTCAACAAAGAAGATGCTAGCAAAATGGTAAGATTCTTAATAATATTCCCACATGTTTAGAGTTACTTTTTTATCCATTGATAAGAAAAATATTAAATTCTAGGTAATGGATTTCAATTCTCTTAGCATGGTGTGTTTGGTTATTTATATCAGGAAAATGAAAAATATTTCATAGGTACTGTACATATCTCACTGACTCTTTGAATTGTTTTAAGTATACTTTTTATGATAATAAGCAGGATAAAAGCCTTAAGAGCAACTATTTTTAAAATTATATTTTGAATGATGTACACTCATCCACATGTATCAAGTGATATTTTAACATATGTAAACATTGGATAATGCTTGAATTGCATTAAATTTATATATTTCCTTGAGACTTATTTATTTGTGATGAAAACTTAAAAAAAATTAAAACATTTGGAATAAAATGTACATTATTGCTATCTGTACTCACCATATTGTGGGAATGCACATCAAAAAATTTCTATGTAGCTACAATTTTGTCCCAAGTGATTATAAT